AATAGTTGCTAGTTGGTGATTAATCCACATGTCATTTACAAATAGCTGTAAGTGTCCATTCCCACAGCAAAAATGGAATCTGACCTGCCAAAGAGCATTACTGTCTATGAGCTTGAGAAATGTTCCGGGAAGAGCATAGACAAAATAAGAGCATATTAATATAGAGGCTGTTTATTCCCAGGTTTTAGTACCACAAAGGAGAATACATAGAAGTGTTGGAGGGAACCAGGAAATGTGCCCTTTCCACGTGAGCCCTTTGTCCTTTGTGGTATGGTGCGCTGAGCACCTTGAGCAAATAACCTAACATCTGAGCCTCAGTCATTCCTGCAGCTGGAACATGAGAATAACCTTGTAAGGTTTTTGTGAGGATGGGAAATAATACATACATGTCATGTGTCTAAACAGTGCTTGGCACATACCTGTACTCAATATGATGAAAAACTAGATAGCATTAATATTCATGAAAAGATAGATAGCATTAATAATAACATTAGTATCGTTCCCTATGATTGTGGGCTTTTACTGGCTTATTTCCCACAATGTCTCTCTCGATTTCCTTGATGTTTACGGTTAGTTTTTAAGCAGAATACTGGCCAGATGACTGGGCACACAGCTAATGATAACTCCTGTTGAAAAGGTATCACCAGATAGACTATTAGAAGCCCGAGTTGCAGCTGGAACAGTATGGGGTGGGCCAGGCAGGGTGAGGCACAGTGCAAGAAGGGAACGTTTCAACTGTGCCATGACTTATATGTCTCCAGTGTTGTTGTTGAATTTGCTCTCAGCCAGAATCCAGAATCCCATGGAAGGAATGGGATCAAGAGACCTTCAGCTGATGCTTTAGAATTCACATCAAGGGCCTTGTGTGATTGTTGCTCGGGACACAGCCAGAGGATATAATATTCTTGTATTTTTAATGTTTTTTAAAACTCCGACAATCAAAAGGTCATCATTTGTTGTAATGGTGCTGTAATTAAGTTGTGGTGAGTGATAGCATTTGTAGATTTTATAACCAGAATCGATTCATAAAATGAATACAGTCCCAGCAGTTTATGTTAACATAATTAAATGGAAATGTAATTCTAACTGAGTTTGTAATTCTAACTGAGTATGAGCACTTTTACATTTCTGTCAAAATTGGTGTAAGTCTAGGATTACATGAAATATCCATTAAAATACAACATATTTTAAGGCTCTGTTGCTGGTGGCATATACATTTCTTACAGCACTTGCAGACTGATCACGTGAGAGCATGTGCTTTTAGTGAGTTTCCTGCTAACTCCTTTTCTCTTTCCTCTGCAGCCATTGGTTTAGCCCTGGGGCTAGGACAGAGCATGGCCAGGTAAGGAACATTCTAATCCAAAAGGAAGTTACTCAGTCTTTCAAATATTTAACTATCTCCCTTCAAGGTAGTAGATCAGTTTTATGAGAAAGGATAAAGTCCCAGGTTATTTTAAAAGGAGTTCATTGTGCCGGTGCTGATACATCACTAGTTTGTAGGACTTCACCGCTCACATATGTTTTTCGCAAAGTTAAGGTACCAAAATAGTACATACGCTTGAAAAAATTGCTTTGTATTAAACAAGATCAGCCAGCAAGAGAATATTTTTATTTTTGAAGTTTAGAAGGTGATAATGGTTTCTTACAAGCGTATGTTATATTTCTAAGTGAGTTTTTTTTTTAATTTTTTATTAGTTTCATGGCAGCACAGTGATGAGTTGACTTAGCAAGAACTTGACATTCATTTTGGTTAACTTTACATATAAAATAAGTAGTCTATCTTCTTCGTTGAATGTGTTAGTTCTCTCTCTGCAGCGTGATAAGGTAATTTAGGGCTTAAAATTTTGATAAGTTGTAAAGCATATATGTTTTGGGCTTTGCATCCTTGTTAAGCCTTTTTTTTTCATTATGGATTCTAAGAGTTATTTTTTAAGTGGGTCAATAGTATGATATGTAAGAAATACCTTTAAATATATGCGAATGAAAAGCCTCAAATTCACAGGGATCATTTCTTCTGAGGGGTAGGTAGGTAGGTCGGTAAAGAGGAGATTGTGCTTAGTAATGGTAATTGGTAACATTATTTCATGTATTGGTGATGTCTTATCTCTTAAGCTGGGCAGCAGGTCCAGAGCTGGTTGCACATACCATAGTTCCCTTTCCTTATAACAGCAAAGTGCCAAATACTTCATTATAAGCTTTACTATATTTCTTAACACACATGAATCTAATTAAAGAAAAATATGTGAATTCAGTTTAATGATTTTTTGTAAACTTGGCCTTTTTCCATGAGAGCAATTTGCACCTTTAAATGTATTTCTCACAATAATAGAATATATACCGTTATTTCTAAAGTTTTGGAAATTAACTAGGCTACGTTGCATCCGCAGTGTGTGTGTTCAGAATGTAAAACTTAGACTTTCTGCTTTCCCAAATGGTTCCCACCCTCTGTGTAAAATGATTACAGTAAGACTCTGCTTCTAGTAGTAAGTCGCATCAGGATATAGTTTATCCCCAAATACGATTTTGTAAAGATCATTTTCCACCTTCTAGAGTTTGAGAAATACTAAAGTAATGTTATAAATCTGTGCTTTATACTGTAACTGGCTGCTTCCAGCCAGACTTTTTTTCTGTAATTAAAAATTAACAAATAGCTAAGAACATACAGAGAAGAAAGGTGACCGATCTTCTTTTTGTTTAATTTTTAAATATTTTAGACAAATTTTTGATTCACCCTTTGGCTTAAACTCTGATATACCATTTCAGATTTTTATCTTGACTAGATAGGTTATTAGTTAATGAACACAGTTGATTCTTGTTGTTTGTAGTAGCTATGTTCTGTGAGGTTGATAAGAATACTGATGAACGTAGCAAATACTGAAAAATCGCTCCCAGGAAAAATACAAGGTTAGGTTCCTGAGAATCTCTGGTCACAACATTTTCATTAACTAATCAATACATATCCTTATTTGATGTGTGTTTCTGTTTAAAGACACCTCATTTAATACATATTATTGATTCATTAACACTGAACTCATGGCCAGCAGCACTATAACTAATTCCTGAAGGGAGCTTGTCTAATGCACATATTTTCTCTATAAAGCCCATCACAACCTTCGTGCACTGGGGAACACTAGACAGCAGTTCAGCACGATACTAGGAGGCTACTTTAAACAATGAAGATAAGAACAAGAAAAAAATGCAAAAAAACATAGCACTGAACGGACCTCGAAAAAGACACTTGTTTATGGTATGAAAGCTGAAACAAGAAGACAGACATCACCTTGTCAGACCTCGGCTGAGAACATGCGCTACAGGGGACTCAAATTTCTGTCACTCTGTGCATGTCTGCCAATGACTGCTAAAGCACCAGAAGTATTGATTTTGGTGTTACAAATAAATTTTAGCAAATAGGTGAATTTGCAAGTACAGAATCCATGAATAATGAGTAGCAGTTGCACATATACGTGTGTATACAAATACACATGCAAACTACTCATGTTTTGAGGGATAAAATTTTCTTATTCAACTTAGACCTAACTTTAGCACAGTAAACTATTGGCTAAACCCAGGTCCAAGGTAGGACCTAAATAAAATGCAAGATAAAATGCAAGACCATGAAAAAGTATAAAATCCTTCAATATATTGTTGAATGAATGACTATTAGCATGCATGAACACCTTTTATTTTTCCCATACCAACTTACCAACATAAAGAAATGATAATATTAACCCCACTTTTGAAATCCCACCCCTCACTGCTTTCCCCACCTTATGATTCCCCTTTCTGTTCTTTAGTGCAAAGTCCCATTTCCATTTACATCATGCATACTCAGCGTTTCTTTATCACACATTCAGTAAATCACTGTTGTCCATCAGCCGTTATCTCTCAGGTACTCTTTATTTCTACAAAAAGAGGTATTTATATAGACAACATAGCTTTTCCTCTGAGGTGGGTAAAATCTGGGGCAGGAAAGCAGTAACTACAGGATGTTGGTAAATGTTTGAGAAAACCACAGAGAGGGCACCACAGAGGCCACAAAAGAAAAAAGTGAAAGGTGGCTCAGTAGTAGAAGTAAGGAGACAGAAGCAGCTGCAGGAAGCCTCATTTTGTGTGTGTGTCTTTTTTAATTCTGAGGATTTTCCTCCTTGAATATCTAATGATGTGACATTTTTGACTGAGTTTACTAGTATCTTAAGGAGCCACAGGTCATTGTTTAGAGATTACTTAGTTCTCCTTTTAAGGTGAGGACCCTGTGAAAGGCCAAGTGTGGAGAGACTTGAAATTCTTTTGTAGACATTTGAGGAGTTACCTGAAAAGTGGCAGCTAATCAGAAACAGTCTTGAGCTTGAATGCCTTCTGAACATCAGGTGGTAAAGAAAGGATTGCCGTGGAATAAGAATTCTGCTCTTTGCTTTTTCCTCTTGTGCTAGGAACGTGACACGCACAAAATAATCTTTTAAAAGTAGCATGAATAGCCACAGAAATTCTCAGCTCCCTTTCTGTCACAGGAGCAACCATGATCCACTTGGAACATTTCTCTTCCTGGTTTCATTCAGCAGATTTTAAAATTGCGTACCTTTTGTAAACCTCACATTGTACTAGGTTTTGCGTTTATGAATGTTCATGTCATTCTTATGTGAGTCATTTTTTAATATACATCTGCAGGTCACTCACTAATAAGGGAATTGTCTCTCCGTTTGGCCTAAGTCCAGCAATCTGAGAGTCAGAAGGTAAGAAGCACTTCGCACCATATTCAGAAGTTCTGTTATTAATCGGAGTTGATGGTGTTGAGTCAGAGCCCTGAAAACTGACCTCACTTGTGACACTGATAGGAGTCCAAGGAAACAGGAAAAGTTAGCAGTAAGAGAAGTGAAGAATCTTTCAAAACCTGATGAGCTACTCTTGCTTATCAGAGCAGAGCTCCAGGACTCTTGTGTCTTTTATCATGAATTCCTGATCTGATGCTCCTCCTACCCCCTGCCACCCTTTTTTTTGTTCGTTGGGGCAGAGCAGACACGTGTTGGGAAACTTTCAAATACAAATGTATGTTTTCTATTCAAATAACACTCTGGATTAACTTTTTCATTTTCGCCCCTTAAAAGATCTAGGTTCCCATATTAACCTGTTAAATTCATGACCCAGAGATCTGAGTCTGTATTTTTCTCTCTGAGCTTGATTTTAAATTTGCAAAGATACACCCAGACTTATAATTTTAATGATAAAATGAGATAATTTTGTGATGACTTTTTAATATAGATGCATTATATTAAATAATTCCAATATTTGTCTCTTTTTATATACAAAGCCCATCAAAACTATAAATTTGAGGAAGAAAAGAAATTCTCATGTGAATCTAATAGAAGGAGCTCTAACCTTAGAGTTAACAGAAGTTGCTATCTCATTTTAGTTCATCCAGATGGTGGCCTCCCTGAGAACTAAGCAGACCTAGTAGGTATAGCCTAATATTTATTTTGGTTATTATAGTTGCATTTTTAAAAAACTAAACTGTAGAATTCTTTTCTTATTTAAGAACATATGTTTGGGATTTTTTGAGTTCTTTGTTTAAACTGTTTTAACACAAATATCAGGAATAGTGTTCACGTATCCGTCTTATCTAACAATTAGAAAAGTTAGTTAACTACTACTATTATTTGAAGGTGGAGGTAGAGATTTTATCATGTCACCTCTAGCTATCTGTGTCACAAATGTTGGTTTGTATATGTTTCTTTACAAAGGCACTAGAATTAGAAATGCCAAAGTAATTAATTTTTTTTTCAGAAGCAAATTAGCTTTCATGGTACGAAGTGTTTCTACATTGAAACACTTTCAGATTAATGGACTTAAAGATAAATTGTTGCTATTTTCTATAAGTAGTAATAATTAGGTATGGCTTCATCTACATATCAGATACTATATCTCATTCCCTATTTCTTTATCTCATTCATTCATTCACTCATTCATTCAACAAATATTTATTGAACACTAAAAATGTTCCAGGCACTGTGCTGGACCTTGGAGATGCAGGCAGATTGAATAACTAAATCAAAGGGCCAAGGTGAGCAAGAATATGGTACACGCTCCAAACTGAAAAGTTCAGAATGGCTGGGATTTATCATTTAGAAATAAGGAGCTTAGGGCTTCCCTGGTGGCGCGGTGGTTGAGAGTCCGCCTGCCGATGCAGGGGACACGGGTTCGTGCCCCGGTCCGGGAAGATCCCACGTGCCGCGGAGAGGCTAGGCCCATGAGCCATGGCCGCTGAGCCTGCGCGTCCGGAGCCTGTGCTCCGCAACAGGAGAGGCCACAACAGTGAGGGGCCCGTGTACCACAAAAAAAAAAAAAAAAAAGAAAAGAAATAAGGAGCTTAGGTTGGGGGGTAGGAGGAAGCATAATAAATTATGAGTTTAGAAATATAATCAAATTATGAAGGGCCATGAGAGCCTTGTACAAGATTTGGGGGTTTATCTGAAGAGAATAATGTAATCAGATCTAGTTTTAGAATTATTGGCTGCAGTGTGGAGAATGGATTAAATGGGAGTGAGGCTGGAGGCAGGGAGGCCTTTGGAGAGGCTGTTGTAGGTGAGGGAAAATGATGGCCTGGACTGGGATGTTGGTGGTGGGGATGGAAAGAAGCAGATATTTAAGAGAAATATAAAGTAGTCTTATTTAGTTAAGACATTCCTGAAATAATGTTCTTTGTGATCTAATTAAGTTATTTTCCTTCTCAAGGATGGCCAAATATGGCTAGTAATTGACTCTAAATGATGTCATTAAATAGTTCAAAGCAGTTATGTCATTAGAAGTGACTGATATTGGTCAGACAATAACCACCGACAACCAGGCTCATTAATTATAATTGTAGCATTTGAACCATTTACTCAGCACTTTTTATACTCTGGTCATAGTGCTAAGCCTTTGACATGATTTATCTTATTTAACACTCACAGCACCCTTACAGGTAGATATTATTGTTATCTCAATTTTCCAGGTGGAAACTGAGACTTAGAGACGTTACACAGCTTATAAATGGTAGACCTGTTTTTAAAACCTAGTGACTTGTTAGTTACTGGTATAGCTGGGATTCGAACCCAGATCTTTCCTGCACTATTACTCCTAAGATTTCTATTTTTATTAAGATTAATTTCTAATATGCTGTACAACTTCTTATTAGCCCAGTCTTGCATATAATCACATTTCTGCATAAATAAGATAAGCTACAGTTTGAGAGTACACACAGCAAAAAGTATTGACTACTTGGGTTTTTTTCTTTCCAATTAGTTAGGCTAAAGCAAGTGTGAAGGGAAGTGTATGGTGAGGCATTTTGAGGAGGCAGTCAAATCTGTATTTTTTTTCTAATTATATATTTCCAAGCCAATAATTTCTTTGAAAAAGAATGTTTTAAATGTTTCTTTACATGTTAGGCCAGTAAATACAGAGAAAGTAAGATTAGATCTTTTATGTCATCGTAGGTGACAAAGCCTTGAAATATTCGTAGCTGAATGCACTGGTAGAAGCATTGGTAAGAGAGGTTGCATTACTTTTACCAGGACCACTCCAGAGAACCAGAATTAGAAGTGAGTCCTAGACCTCCAGCTCTAGGCTGTATATTAAGTGACTATAAGAGCAGTGTAAGCTGTCAGGCAAGCACTGGCAACTCTTAGCAACATTTTTATAAGTGTGTCAGTGGCATCTCTAGCAAAAGTAGTTGTCTTCGTTTTAAGAAAAACCAGTAAAAAAAACAAAAAGAAAAAAAAGTAATGCAAGTGAACAAATAGTGTCCCTCTGAATGAGAAGAATACTTTTCTACTTACAAAATAATATAATGGAAATATTTTTGTTTCTACAACTTTGTTTTAACACTTTGGACAGCATCAGCTTCTGAGAGATAACCGAGCTGAAAGAGGACACAAGAAAAACTGTTCTGTGAAAACAGCCAGCAGGTAAGCAATTTAAAATCACTTTTAACTCTGATCATTAAATCATGTGATTTTTTTTTTTCCATACCAATACGAATATGGTGAGTTATAGTTGGGATGCCTTTGGCTCTGAAGTGCCAGCTTAAAATATTTTATGTATTGTTTATTAGAATCTATTTCAGAATTACTAGTAATGAATAGAAAGATACCGTTCTATTTGTACTTTTTTAAGCTGATGAAAAACAAAGAGTACCTTTTTTTTTTTAACATCTTTATTGGAGTATAATTGCTTTACAATGGTATGTTAGTTTCTGCTGTATAACAAAGTGAATCAGCTATACATACATCCCCATATCCCCTCCCTCTTGTGTCTCCCTCCCACCATCCCTATCCCACCCCTCTAAGTGGACACAAAGCACTGAGCTGATCTCCCTTGTGCTATGCGGCTGCTTCCCACTAGCCCTCTATTTTACATTTGGTAGTGGATATATGTCCGTGCCACTCTCTCACTTCGTCCCAGCTTACCCTTCCCCCTCCCTGTGTCCTCAAGTCCATTCTCTATATAAGAGTGCATTTTTAGAAGAAAAGAAAATCTCTGCCACCCATAACTAATGAATTTTAGATCAAGATTTAGAATAATTAGTTTATTTTTTAATTTTGAAAAAGAGAATTAATCTTTTCCCCAAAACTTAAATGGTACTTAGGCTTTATGAGAGAGCAACATGTATATTTATCTCTAATAAAATATAAATAAGTATATAGAAAATATACTCTTTTTTAAAAGTGCTTCTGTGTTCTTACTCATTTTATATTGCTGAGTCAATGTTATATTTTTTCTTTAATAAATAAAATTTGCCCCAGTTTATTTTTTTAGACAGCGTATTTCCAAATTTTGCATGTGGTGTTTCTGAAGACCTCATTTTTACTTAGGTGAAAATGGCTATCAGAATATTGATCAGAACTACTGCCCTGTGATTTACACTTGCTCAGTTTTTAACAAGATAACCGACCTCGGCATCTGCCTTTGCATCTCCTGGCCTCCCGTAGTTAGTGTGCTGGCCACTGTGTTTAACACTCCCAAGCAAGCAATGTAGCTTCCAAGTACCATGTTGTACAGACTAACCCCAACTGAGAACCCATTAGGCATCTGCAGAAGCTAACATAAATCCTATATAGCATGTCTAATTTAGACAATCAAAAATTGTCAAACATAATAAGTTGACCGTCAGTGATAGTCAACATAAAACTAATATAGTTACCCCTAAGGATGTCAGATCCTGAAATTATAAAGTATGGATTATATAAATTTTGTACAGGTTATAAATAATTACAAATGGCACGTTTATAGAAATAAAATAAGCAGGCAACAGATCGCTATTAGAATTGTTCAAGCAGAATTGAATCAAAAGCATATAATTGTTAAAAATGAGAAGCGTGATTGTGAAATGGAGGTACAGCTAAAGAAGTAGGCCAGAATGCAGCATAAAAATACAAGGAGATGGAAAAATGAAAGAGTGGTTAAGAGACCCAGGAAAGATCTAAGATATATTTAAGCTCAGAGGCTTTGATGGAGGGTATAGAAAGGCTGAAAAAAACATGATGCTGAAGAGATGTTGGCTAAGGATTCCCTAAATGGGTGAAAGTTATAAATCTATAGATACAGGTACAGAAAGCACAGTGAATACCAACTAGAATAAATAGAAAGAAATCCATACCTAGTAGTACACCAAAAACAAAGAGAAGATCTTAAAAGAATCCAGAAATAAAGGATGAATTACTACAAAGGAATGACAGCGGTACATCATCAGATTTCTGAGTACTGACGGTGAAACCAGAAAACAGTGGACAAGTCTTCAGAGTACTGGGTGAAAATACATTGTCAGCATAGAACTATGTGCCTAGAAAAACATCTTTCATATATGAAGATGAAGTAAAAACAGTTTAAGATTTTCAAAAACTAAGGAAGTTTACTACCAACAGACCTTTGCTAGAAGACTTTCTAAGGATGTATTTCAAGAAAAGGATCTCCCCAGGAAAGTCTAAGATGAAAAAATGAATACTAAGCCAATAAGCTGTTAAAGATTTCAGTAAGTTTAAACAACTATTGTTTATATAAGTTGACAGTTATAATGTGTAATTCATGGGACTTTTCAAAAGACAATCTAAGATAGTGGAAAATAACAGCATGTTAAATTTGGCAGTGTTGATTACAGTTCAAGTCCAATCTAAGGTCCTTGAATTGTTTGGGGTGTTTACTTCATTGGTCAGTTAAGAGATTGATACTTGATAAGACTGTATTAAGTATTCATGGTAAAATATCAAAAATAACTACTAAGTCAAAAGAAATAGAGTATGTAAATTCCAAGCCAGTTGGCGGGCGTGGGGTTGAATGGAATAAATTACCTCAAAAAATCCATTTAGAAAGTCAATAAAGGGGGGAAAAAGGCATAGACAAAATGGAACACAGAAAAAAATAAGTTAGATGATTGCGTCAAGTCCATGTATCAGTAATTACAATAAATATTTATGGATTAAATTTGTCAGTTCAAAGCAAAACTAAGCAGATTTAGTTTTTCTTTTAAAATCTAACTATATGTTCTTTATAAGAGACATACCTGAAATAATGTGACAAAGAAAGGTGGAAAACTAAAGGATGGAACAGCATATACCAGATATACTATAAGAGAGACTCTCATACCAGACAAACTGACTTAAGAACAAAAGCCTTAACAAGCTTAAGAAACACATAATTTAATGATAAAAGATTCAACTTACCAAAAAGTTAATAATTTTATTATTGTGTACATTCATTAAAATAGACTCAGAAAAATATATAAAGCAAATATTAATAGCAGTGAATGGAGAAACTCACTAACCCACTATCATGGTGCTCCCACTTCAATACAGCATTCATATTATTGATAGTTTAAGCCATCATAAAATTTGCATAACAGAAAATTAACAAACTTAATGATATTATATAAACCTTTTCACCCAAACTATTAACAGAAACACATTCTTCTCAAAGACACATGTAATATTTACAAAAATTGACCACTTACTAGGCCAAAGCTACTATCAACAAATTTTAATGAATATGTATCAAAAAGATCATATCCTTTAATTTGAATGTGATTAAGAGAAATCATTGACAAAAATAATTTTTTTAAAGTTTGGAGTTAAAAATACATTTTAAAATAACTCGTGTCCAAAAAAATCATAGTGATAATATCTAAACTTGTGAGTTGCAGTTAGATGGCAATTAAGAAAACTGTACTACTTGAAAGTTGTATATTAGAAATTTGGTCTCAGTTGCTGTTGTGGTCAAGATTCTGAACTATAAGTTTACTGATTCTAAACTATAAGAAGACGGCTTCTCTCCTCCAGGGTCAACCCAGGAGGAATTTAGAAAGAGAAAATAAGCAGAAAACTACAAGAAGTCCCCAGTATTAAGGGAAGGGGTGTGCTATTTTGAACTTGTGCTTGTGAGATGGGGGCACACAGGTGTGCTTGTGTGCTTTGACCTGAAGCAAGAGGCAATTCAGCCTGGGTAAGGGAGAATGAGATGTGAGGAGAACCTTTGGAGTTCTTTTCTATACTAGCTTGTCACTGGCCATGGCCTTGGGACAAATGACATCTGCCCCTTACAGAAAGACTCAGATCTCTGGTCCAAGTGTTTTTAAGGATAAAGTCAGGGCAGCTCGCAGTGCTGTATTTGTGAGGAGCTGGGAAAGCTTGATGGGACTGGATGACAAATTATCTGGTCTTCACCTGCCCCCTACAAACCACAGAGCTGGAGGATTACAGTTCACCTTTTCCTGAGAGTGAGGAAAGGGAGTGTTTTTCTGACAGAGGAGTTATTTTATAGAGAGGGGTGTGATGATTGTGGTTTTCTGGTGGCCAGGCCTCTATACTCTTAAGTCAGGTTCATTCACCTCCAATTGCTGAACTGCTTTGGGCAGACAGAGAAGACTGGCCTTTCCCCATAGCATTGCCTGGTAGAATCAGATAATAAGGCATTTGAGGAGAACAGCCTTTTCAAAAAATATATATATATCAATACATATAGGACTTCCATGGTGGTGTAGTGGTTAAGAATCCACCTACCAACGCAGGGGACACGGGTTCAATCCCTGGTCCGGGAAGATCCCACATGCCGCGGAGCGACTACCCATGTGCCACAACTACTGAAGCCCACATGCCTAGAGCCCGTCCTCCACAACAAGAGAAGCCACCGCAGTGAGAAGCCCGTGCACCGCGACGAAGAGTAGCCCCTGCTCGCCGCAACTAGAGAAAGCCTGTGTGCAGCAACGAAGACCCAACATGGCCATAAATAAATAAATAAATAAATAAATAATTTACTTTTAAAAATATATATATATTGGATTACAGACTCCAACAGAAGCAGAAATGTTAGAACAAACAAGTCAAAAGAATTTGATTAGCATAATAAGTATTAACTAAAAGAAGTACAGGACGATAACAATATAAAGCAAGAAATAACAACACAATACATAATTAAGAACCAAATATTTAAGTCTTTTTCAATTTTTCTCAGCGGTGTTTTTTTCATTGTATAGGTCTTACACATATTTTATCAGATTTATCCCTAAGCATTTCACCATATTTTTTGGTGTATGAAAATGTTGCTGAGAGAAATTAAAGATCTGTGTAACTGGAGAGATATACCTTGTTCATGGATCAGGAGACTCAATATTCTTAAGATGTCAGTTCTCCCAAAATTTAGCTCCAGATTCAGTACAATCCAAACAAAAATCCCATGAGACTATTTTGTAGAAATTGACAAATAAATGCTAAAATTCATATGAAAATGCAAAGGACTTAAATAGCCAAACTTTAACACTACCTGATTTCAGGACCTAATTTCAAAGCTGTAGTAATCAGGAAAGTGTGGTATTGGTGCAAAGATAGAAAAACAGATGAAAGAAATATACCCACATATATACAGAGAATTGACTTTTGACAAAGTACAAAGGTACCTCAGTGGGAAAAAAATAGTATTT